TTGGAGCAACCTGGGCTGGTGGAAGGTGTCCCTGCCCATGGCAGGGGTGGGACTGGGTGAGCTTTAAGGTCCCTTCCCACTCAAACCATTCTGGGAATTCTGACCCTGCTGTGGGTGTTGGGGTCCCCACAGTTGGGCTGGGAATGGGATGAGAGCTGGGATTGCTGCTGGATCTCAGAGTGGGTTGGGGAGTGAATTCCTTCCTGTTCACAGCTTTTTGGAATGGATACATCGACTTGAAGGCGGGTTTAGGACAGGGCTCTAAAGGGGCTCAGTGTGTGCTCCAGAACTGCAGGGGGGTCATTTGAATCCAAGGTGTCATCAGGATAAAGGGAATTACCTGCCTGGGATGAGCCCTTCTGCCTGCTCCGGAAAATTCCCTGTCCCTCCCACTAACAGACACAGCTGGGCAGGGTTTGCATCTTCATCCCAGTGATCAGACACTGCTGGATAGGGGGAATGGTCCCTGGGGGTTTCTTTCCTCAGCTCTGCAGGGATGAGGCAGTGGGGTGGGAACGGGAACCAGCAGGAATGGGAGCCAGCACTGGCACCTCTGCTTCCCACATCCCAAAAACTCACCAGACCTCTGCTGTCCCGGGGGGCCCAAAAAGCTGGGGGTTGTGCTTTTCTGGCCGATTTAAAGCCACAAATGCCCCTTGGGTCACACAGAGGGTAGGGAGTGTCCCAGTGGGTGCGGGCACGTTGTCCCCCAGCGCTGTCCTTTCCTCCCTGTGCCTGTCTCACGAGAACATTCCAAAGGATTTGGAAGGCTGGAAGCTCCTTTTCTCCCTTGGGAGGTTTTACAGGACCGAGTACGAGGCTGACCCCGGCGCCCATCCCCTGGATAATCCCCCAAATCCCGTAGGAAGAGACGTGCCCCAGACAAGAGGTGACAGGGTGGCTCTGGGTGACCTGCCAAGGGCTGGGCCGTGCCGGGACTGTCCCTTCCAGACCCTTCCCGGCCCTTCCCGGCTCCCTCCAGGAACAGTCTCTTTGTCTGCAGTGCTCTTTGTCTGCTCCAGCTCCTGCCCGGCCGCCTGTGCTGCCCGGCTGGGAATTTCCCCTTTCACTGGCACCCCGGGACGCTGCCGGGGTCAGGGCACAGGGACCCCTTCCAGCAGCCCTGGGAGCCCTCGGAATGTCTCCTGGAGGCTGCAACGGGAAACCAACGGGTGATTGTTGGGGATTTTTTTCCCCCAAATCCCTCATTTTCTGTCCTTCCAAGTTGCAGTGGGATAAAAACAACCTGGTGTCCATCAAAGCCAGCAGCTTTCCAGGCGTGCTCCCAGGAGTCCAGCACTGGGATGTGACTGGTGGTCCCCACGTGCCAGGACTGACGTTGCCCATCCAGCTCCATGTGGCTGATCCGGCCGGCAAAGATCTGGAGCTGCCACTTCCCTGGGGCAGGATCAGCCCAGTGGGACCTGAGGGGCAGCTCCTCGCTCAGCACCCGTCCGTGTGCTGCTGGGAGAGCCACCAGACCCCTGCAGGATCCGTTCCACGGCTCCCTCCCAGCACTGGGGACCAGGACGTTGTGGTCCCACTGATCCGGAGCCGGCGCAGCCCTCGGAGGATGCTCGGATGGATTTGGGTGACCTGCAGGTCTGGTTCTGCTGCTCCAGTTTTGGGTTCCCTCCTCCAGATATCCCAGAGCCGGAGCCTTGGTGGTGACTGAGCACCCCTGACCCATGGTGGGAGGGATGAGGGGGGTGTTCCCTGCTCCGGGCACGCCAGGGCTCAGCTCCTCTGCTCTTCCCGAGCCTTTTTCCTTCATTTCAGTGGGATAACGTGGTGTCTTCACTCCTTGTCCTGACTGTGAAACAGCTGCTTTGATTCACCCGGATTTCCAGCAGTAATGAAAACAAAGCCCCAAAGATAAAAAGCTTCTCTGAAGGGCCTTTAGTGCCCTCTTGGCAAAATCACAAGTACTAAACCAGATTCTCCAGCCAGGAAGGAGGAAGGTGTGGGAATGGTGTTGGTGCTCAGGGTGACTTATCCCGGTCTGTGACAGTTTTATTTGTCACCCCTGTGCAGGCTGGGCACGTTCACAGACACAAAAGGTGTTGGATGCAGCTGGCAGGTGCTGTGCTGTGTCCTTGGATGCAGTGCTCTGTCCTTGGGACACAGTACTGTGCCCTCAGGATGCAGTTGTTGGTCCTGGGGACACAGTGCTCCATCCTTGGGATGCAGTGCTTCCTTCTTGGGACACAGTGCTCCACCCTTGGGATGCAGTGCTTCCTTCTTGGGACACCCTTGGGATGCAGTGCTTCCTTCTTGGGACACCCTTGGGATGCAGTGCTTCATTCCTGGGGACACAGTGCTCCACCCTTGGGATGCAGTGCTTCCTTCTTGGGACACAGTGCTCCACCCTTGGGATGCAGTGTTTCCTTCTTGGGACACCCTTGGGATGCAGTGCTTCATTCCTGGGGCACCCTTGGGATGCAGCTCCCGCCGTCTCTTCTCCCCGGAGCCTCTCGGTCCCGCTTTCCTCAGGGTTTTCCTCGCTCTTTGCAGCTCAGAGCTGTGACAGGTGATTATTAAACCTCTCCCACCTTTTCCCTGTGCAGCCACAGGGCTCCGTGGCTCGGGAATGGCCGTGTGTGGGAGAGCAGGAGCTGGGGCACAGCCAGGGACCCCTCGGACACCGGGACTCTGCCCCCTCCCCGAGCCGGCTCTGCCTCTGCAGAGCCAAAGGCACCACTCCCTGGGCAGGTCAGGAGGGTTTTTGGGGCAGATCCCGGCTCCAGCAGCACGGGGCATGCAGAGCCTGTGGATCCGGGTCTTTGTGCCTCCAGCGTCCTCCCCCGAGCTGCTCGTGCCATCCGAAACGCGGCTCCTGCTCGGAGGACTTGGAATTCGGCAGTTTTCTGCTCAGCCGGGTGTCGGGAGCAGCTCGGCGTGTGACGGATCCGTGGGGGGGGAATTTGCTCCCTGCAGGAAGGGGTGGGATGTTCTCGGCCTGAGCAGGGGGAGGCTGAAGGTCGGTGCCGAGTCTCGCGGCTGCGGCTCCTCCAGCGCTCGGTGTCACATCAGGGCTCGTCACCTCGGAGCCAGCCCGGGCGGGGCCAGCCCTAAAACCCCTCCTGGCTGAACTGGGCTCGGCCCTGGGCTCAGGCTCATCCTGCCCCTGCCATCGCCCCCCCATTATCCAGGGGTGATGTCCGTGGGGATCATCACTGGGGGTGGGATGAGGTGATTCCCAGAGCTCAGCTGATGGGCAGGAACTGGGAAGGTGGGAATCAGAGCCCACCTGTGCCTCCCCTCAGCCTCTGTCTGTCCGTCCATCCCCGTGGGGTCCAGGGCCACAGCCCAGCCTGGCACCTGCTCCCGGCGGTGCCACTGTGGGTGCAGGATGGGAGGAGGAGGGTGCTGGTGTGG